AAACGATCGTAAATTTCCAGCCGGGACAGTATTTTTCTCTCACACAAACCAGCCAACAGTACTTCTTCACGAACCAGCAACGATACGAACCAGCAAACTGAACGGGCTGATGATGTGTGCAGCCGTCTCCTCTGGATGTTGGCAAACTTCACAGACTGTGTTGTCCACTATGTTCTTGTTTCTCAAAGCAATTTTATTCTGTGACAGCAGCCACGCGAAGAACTTGACACGCGACGGTGCTTTGTTTAGCCACACGAACTTTGCCCATGGATCAGGAGACCCATGCGCACTCTTGAGTGCACGGTATAGCATTGGCCTCGTTCGTTTCGTTGAAAAAACAAGGCGAAACACTATTCCGGCTGATTTGTTGTGATAAAAAAAACACTATTCTAACTGAAAAAAACAAGTTAAAAAAGACGGATTATAAGAGAAGCGAACAGGACCATTGCAGCATCAAGGTCACCATTCTTTTTTGTCATTAGGCATCGGCGTTGGTCTCTGCCATCAGTAAGATTGTGTTCCTCCATGATTTGCATACCGTAGGTTCATTTTTCGAGTGGGCAATGATCCATTTGTAAGAAAGCACATTTGATGGTTTGAATTTTATATTTTCTGGAGATGTTTGATTGGTTTTTGCTATGTTTTCTCCAAAACTTGTTTCATGTCCTTCGATGTCTTTAAAAGCAAATATTAGTTTGGCTACCGTACAAATTACATACGCTCGAAAATCACATGCTAAATTAATTTCCTCGCACCAAAAAAATTACAGGTCCCAATTGAGCGCTTGCCCAAGATCAACAATTAAGATACCACTGCACACAGTTGCATTGCATTGCACGCAGGAAAATGCAAATGAAAGCTGGCTCGACGCGTCGACGGCGGCCAAATGAAATGGTCGGTGAGCGAGGGGCCGGGCAACTAGATCAGAGGGAGTAGAGCTTCCTGAGGTTGATGGGCGAGATGTACTTGGTGTCGCCGTCGACGATGTACTTGGCGAGCAGCACGTTGGCGGCGTCGCTGGGGTGGTAGGGGTCCCAGAACACGTGCTTGTCCCGGTCGTCGCACAGGCTCGTCGTCGGCCCGCACGGCACCAGCCCGTCGTACGACCCGCCGTTGCCGCAGCACGCCACGCTGGCCGTCTCGAACCCTGCAACATGCATGCATGTGATGGATTCATTCATGCATCCATGTCCTTATTCTCTGCTTGCTCAATAATGAAAGGCATGCTCACGGCGCGCGGCGGCTCACCGTAGTTGGGGTAGTTTGTGATGAGCTCCATGACGAGGTCGTAGACGTTGGCGAGGCAGAACCTGGCGCCGGGGAGGCCGTCGTTGAGCTCGATGATGAGCTCCCTGAGCCGAGCGTTGTACTGCGCCGCCAGCTGGTTGGGCAGCTTCACGCACTCGTCCTCCCCCACCCGGTTGATGGTCTTCTGGTACGGGATGCACCCCAGCGGCCCCACGTTGGCCACCACGAACTTGCGCGCGTCCAGCGTGTGCAGCCTCTGCATCCATCATATCCATGGGAGGATCAGGGTCTGGCGCAGCCGGCCACTGCTAGCTGCTGCCACTTACTACATGCCATGCTTGGTGAACGCACGTACATACCGTGAGCTGGTCCCGGAGGTGGAAGATGAGGTCGTCCACGAAGGCGTCAGGCGACTCACTGATCCTCGTGCCAGTAGACAGCACGGGCATGAGGTAGTTGTTGAGGAAGTCATTCGACCCAACAGTGACGGAGAATATAGCCTTCTTCCTCAGAAACTCCCGGGCCTTGTCCCTCCCCAGCAGCGCGTCCAGCTGCTGCCTGGTGATGTTGAAGTAGTCCACCTGCAGGTCCATCCCGATCCGGTTCACGAACACCTTCCCCGTGCCGTTCAGGATCCCGCCGCCGCCCGACGCGTAGTTGACGCCGTTCAGGATCGCGCCGCCGCTCGTGTTGGGCGCCAGGAACGGCGGCGAGTAGTCCGCCTGCCCCAGCATCTCGCCGATGATGTCCGCGATCGTCCGCCCGTTCGTGAAGCGACCCGTGGGCGTCCCGCCCGTCGCCGCGAAGTCGATGCCGTTCGGGGTCATGTTGGCCCGGGATAGAGTCGGGATGTAGTTGTTGTTGCCGGCGTCCACTAGTGAGTCCCCGAAGATGAAGGACGCCCCGCCCCCGAACTCGTCCACCACCTCCTCCGCTCCTACTCCCGCCGCCGCCGCGGCGACGAAGAGCACCGCCGCCACGGCGGCCATCGCCACCGCTCGATGAACCATGCTAGCTAGCTTCTGGTGGACACTCCTTGCAGGCGCGCAGGCTACTGCAGGAAGCAGGCCTGTGCTGAGTGCGGTATATAGCTAGGCAGACAACGATGGGAATGGGAGTAGGTGATCGGACTGTGGCCTCCTAGCTGCTGCTAGTCCGAGGTCGAGGTCTCCATGGAAATAGGAGCAAGGACCAAGGACACAGACAGAGAGATGGCTCGCTGGACGATGGAGGAACTGTTCTCGATCGGATTCCTTGCCGTGGCTGGGTTGATGTGGGAGGGGAGACTGAGGGAGTGTGCGGGTGCAGGTGTTTGGTCGTCTGACGGTGGTTGTGGTCTCTAGTAGTAACATCTAATTCAGTCAGTCAGTCAGTCAGCTAGATTGAGGGTAGCTAAACCAACAGGGGTGTCCTCACTACTCTCGCCAGTTTTCTTTCACCTCGTCCGGCATTCGTCCGTCCGTGTACCGTGTGTACGCAAGCAAAGCTAAGCTAGCTATGGATGGCTGGACGTGAGTCAGAAGGGTCGCTGAGATTTGGCGCACAAAAAAACGGCTTCCAGTTCAGGTGGTTAGGTGGCGGTTAGTTTAGGTGGCCTGAAACGACCCAACAGGGGACTGGTGAGGTCTCTGTTTCCTTGGAACAGAGCCTGTCTGCCCTTGTCTTGAGTCGTCCCTCAAGATTACGAGATGCGCGTCGTCAGTTGCGATAGATCTGGATTCTGGAGCCTTTTGGCGGTAATTTAAAAAAAAAAACAGAGGGACGGTTATCATGACATGAGTACCTCATGAGTATTCATGGCATACGTACAACGCGTCGTCTCAGTGTTAGCACCAATGCTAACCCGGGCCACGATCATCATGGGCTGCCCGAGTCGTCGAGCCCAGGAGAGTGCCGACTCGAGGCAGAAGAAGCTTCGGCCCAAGGCGGGATGTCGAGCCTAGGAGTACGCCTTCCCAGGAAGCCCAGTACTCACTACTTCGGCCCTCTGTGGTCCAACAAGAGTGACAGGGAATATCTAGTATACTCCCTCCATCCCAAATTGTAAGACGTTTGACTTTTTTTGCTTTAAGTTTGACCACTCGTCTTATTCAAAAAATTTGTGCAAATATAGTCAAATTTAAGTCATTCTTGAAGAATTTTTATTAATAAATCAAACCACGACGAAAGAAGTGATATTTTACTCAAAATTTTTAATAAGACGAGTGGTCAAACTTGGTGTCAAAAAAGTCAAACGTCTTACAATTTGGGATGGATTGAGTATGTATCAGGAGAGAGAGCTGAGGGAGGAATCATGGAAGAACATGTAAACTCTTGTAATATTCCAAGCACACCTCTATCTGAATCGAAACATATGCTTGCTACCCATCCCCAATTCTAGTTCTTCTGATCCCAATCCCCCTTGCTATTAATAATTGGTATCGGATTCCTTCGATCCTAGAACCCCATCTTCCTCACCATCACTTTACCCGTCTTCAACGCCGTCGTGGTGCCATGGATCCTGCCCTCAAGCTCATCCTGGACACCATGAACAGCCGATTTGACGACCTCGACCGTCGATTCGCTGACCGGGACAGCGCCTCAACAACTCGCGCCGCGGCAGTCGACGAACGCTTCGACCTGCTGGCGGCCCACCAGGCGGCGGCACATCGGTGGTAACCTCCACCGCCGCCGCGCTGGAGCAGCGACTCACCACCCTCGAAGCCAGCTATATTGACCGCAACACCGAGTTCTCCAGTCGCTTCACCGAGCTCAAAGCCCTCCGCGTCGCCCACATGACCGATGATAGCGATGAGCAGGTGGCGGCGCTCGAGAAGGCGATGGCGGACCTCACGGCGTGGCGCCCGGACATGGAGGGTGTTCTGGATGACGTCCGGCTGCGTGTCTAGAAGATAGACTCCAAGTGTGGCCGGGTGGTGTTCGACAATATGCCTCACAGCGCTTGTCTCTCCGTCATCCAACTCTGGCGCCCGCGAATGCTGCTTCCAGCTCTGACATCAAATCGCCCAAGGGGCCCAGCGTCGAAACGACTACACGGGATATGGGATCCGGGGTCGTCACAACCTGGACGCATGTCCCGGCCATGGGTAAGCCTTTCATCGCTCCTCCTCCGGTTGATCCGCCTGGTTTTGTGTTTCCTCCTCCACCACCACCACCACATCCTAATCCCTGCATGCCGCCACGCATCCACCCGCCTCCACCGATGCCACCTCCCATCCACCATGACCTTGTTGTTGCCGCTAACCCCACCGCACCACACGCCACCGGTCGTCTTCCCAAGCTGTCATTCCCTCGTTTCGACGGTGACAATCCTCGTCACTGGCGCTCCCTCTGTACTGACTATTCCGAGATGTACAGTGTTCACCTTTCGCTCTAGATTCTAATTGCCAAACAACATCTCGGCAGCGCAGCAGCTTGTTGGTTTCAATCCATCGAACCCGAGCTCGATTTCTCCGATTGGCAAGCCTTTTGCCGCCTCCTTCACAATCGTTTCGACCGCGACCAAAAGGAACTTCTCATTCGCCAACTTTTTCAAGCCAAACAAACTACCTCTGTGGCCGACTATGTCAGACAATTCACCGAGCTTGTCGATCAGTTGAAGGCTTACTCTCAATCCACTGATCCCATGTTTTATATCATGCGTTTCATTGGTGGCCTTCGTGCCGACATTAAAGCAATCGTGCTAGTTCTCCATCCCAAATACTTGGATACTGCTTTGTACCATTGCCATGTTGCAGGAGGAAGCGGGCGCAATGTCGGTGCCACAGAAATTCCGTACTGGTGAGTACTCTTCATCGTCAAAGTCTGTTGCCATTCCGCGCACAGCATTACCATTGCCACTACCGCCAACACCTCGCCCGGACAAGCATCTCCAACCTATGCAAGCTGCACTGCCAACTGCTGATTCCAAGCTGGCCACTATCAAGTCGTACAGGAGGGCATTGGGCTTGTGTTTCAAATGTGGTATGAAATGGTCTAAAGACCACAAGTGTTCCCTTGAGGTATTGAACGCCGTGAAAATTCTTTGGGAATCCTTTTTTGATGAAGATGATCAGTCTGCTTAGGCTACTGCTGATACTTCCACCGGTCTAGATGAGCAGCTATGTTTGGCTCTATCTAAGGCTGCATCAGGTGGTACTCCTGCTTCGCGTACAATACGCTTCCGGGGTTCCATTGGGGGTATTCCTGCTGTGTTGTTGGTTGACTCTAGCAGTTCCACATCTTTTGTCAGTCAGTCTCTAGCTGCCTAGTTGCCACAGTTCAACGCTATTCCTTATAGTGCTCAAGTTCAAGTTGCTGGAGGCGGGTTCTTGCATAGTCCTGGCACATTGCAGTCTGTTCTATGGTCGGTGGACAGCTGTCAGGTTTCCTCGGATTTTAGAATCCTTGAACTCTCTACCTTTGATGCTATTGTGGGCATGGATTGGCTCAGGCCTTCAGTCCAATGCAAGTTCACTAGGAGCAAAAATGGATAGCTATTCCATACTAGGGTGATTGGTCAGTCCTGCAGGGCCTTGATTCTGTACAGCCCAGTTCTCTGTGTCTGCAGTTGTTTGTTGTCGAGGACAAGGATCAACCTATGCAGTCGCTGGCTCCACTCCACCCTTAAATTCAGCATTTGGTGGATTCTTTTGCATCATTATTCAAGCCACCAACTTCATTGCCGCTGTCTCGGAGTTGCAATCACACAATTCCATTACTGCAAGGAGCCCAACCAGTACCCGTCGAACTTGAAAGACGAAATCGAAAATGTAACACCATCGGGGTTACACTGTAAATCATTTACTAAAACGTGTCGTGAGCATCATGTTTATGTATTAATACATGTAATAAAGAGTGTAGATCAATTTCGGTAACTCAAAACGATCAACGGAAATACGAAATGAAAGTTAATTCAATAGTCATGTTATATCACTTAGGGTTTAAAACCAATTTTTATTAAGCAAAAATGCTATAGAACGTGTATGTGATACTTAAATAAAGTTTGAAGTACAAACTTTGTAGATGACAATGAAATACCTGCGGTCAAAAATGATATTACTAGATAAGATTTTCAATAGCTTAGAAATGCAATTTGAAATAGAGTTCAACTCAAAACTTAGAAAAATTTCGAAGTTTGTTGATAGTTAGACATTGCTATGTTTAGCAAACTATTATGAGGAATTAGGTTAAAGAGCGATGTAGTGCTATAACTTGATTAAGTAGCCTCATATGCCATCTTGAGTGTACTGAAGACTGTTTATGTTTAGGAGTAACGGGTTGGTCGTGGTAGAAGCTTTAAAATCTGTGCACAGCACGTTTCTGGTTTGTTTCCCTCGCGTGGTCGCGGTCACCGCGCGTCGGTGGTCGTCGCCGCCGCGTCGGGTGTTCTATGCGTGCGCGCGTTGGCGTGCTCGGTGGTCCACCATGGGCCGGTCGGCCCAGCTACGCGTTGCTGCCGCCACGCGGGCCCGACGTCCTGGCCACCGTTGCCGCCCTGCCGCGCGGAGCCATGGATGCCGACTCATCTCGTCGCGCTACCCTACCGCCTGCTGCCGTTGCCGTGCGTTGCTGCTACTCGCATAACCGAGCGCCGTGCCACCTACCCCATGTGCTGCCCTACTGCACGTCGCAACGCTGCCGTCGCGTCACCATCTCGCTCTCGCCTATCGCTGCACCGCACTGCACCTCTGGTCCGCCTAGGCGTTGTGCGCGCGGGGCCGGACCACCGTTGCCATGCCATTTATGGCACTATGGCGCGCGGGCCACGCCGACCTCGAGCGCGTGCCATCGGCTAGCACCGGCCGTGGGCCGTACTGGTTGCGCCAGCCGCATCGCGCCAAGGTGCACTCGCTAGCTACCGACCGTGTCCTCACCTCCTCTCGTCCTCTCGTTTCTCCCCTGCCCGCCTCTGTGCGCCCGACCACCTCTATTTCTGCCGTCGCATCGAGGCCACGGTGAGCCAGGGCGCAAGCACTTACCTTCAATTCCGCGTGCCCATGTATGCGCATTGATGTTCGCGTGCCAACCGTCCCCACCCCGCCTTGAATTGCGTCACGACGTGCTCCAATTTGGAGTTTCTCCTCCACCGTGCCATTAAGGTTGGGACCGGTTGTGGTCGAGGGCAGCCACCCACCGCTGCACCCATCGTCAATCCATCTACACAACAAACTCCGCCTCCACCTCCACTTCACCCTGCGCACCTCACGTGCACCTCAACCGCCTCGCCGTAGCCACTGACATGGCCGCACCATCTCAGAGCGCCGCCGCATCCCACTGCCCGCATGTGGCCAGCCATGTTCGGGGAACCTCTGATCAAACCACCACCTCAGCCGCAACCAGGGTAAGATAGTGATGCTATAGCATAGCTAGTTCACCCCGTGATGGCTTAGGGTGGCCCGCATGGTCGCGCTGCTATCGCACATGGCCGCACGCCGTGGTCACCACTTCCACGAGCTCCGCCGCTCTAGTAACCTAGGCTAGTGTAGGCGCTAGGGTTGTAGGCAGGGGTCGGCCCGTTAGTGGAGCCAGCACAGGTCCTTGTTGGCCGGCGTGGCCATCCAATGCCATCGCCGCCGCGCCGCGCGCCGCGGGTGGCCGAGGGTCTCACCGTTGTAAAGAGGAGAAAGGTCCGAGGGTTCTTTTTGCATAAGTGCTGTCTCTAGGAATAGTAACGTGGACTGCGGGTTAGTTTGCCCAGAGTTTAGGGGAGTTTTTGCATATGTGTTGCGTGCACGCGGGCCTTCCTGTTGTGGGCCGCCTCGCGTTGGGCCGCGTTCGCGTGGGCCGCGTGGTGGTTGGCCTCGGGTGGAATTCATTTTTCCTTTTTCTTAAGGAATTAGAAATAGCTTTATATTTTAATTTCTGAGCTGAACTTTGAAAATTAATATCAATTCGTGTAGGTGTCCATAAATTGAGAAACCAATTTTGTTAGGTTCCTAAAATTGTGCTCTATCTGTTAGTGTATTTAGTTCATATATATATTTATTGATACCAGCGGCAATTAAATCATTTGTGAGTGTTTAGTATTATTTAGATTAGTATTTGTAGGAATTTTTGTGGCAAATTGGTAGTAGTTTTGACCATAAAATTTTTATAGTAGATTCATTGTATTATTATGTGCTCACTATAATTTTTGTAGCCTTAGAATAGGTTGAGAAATATGATAGCTAAGTACTCCTTGTTGTAGTATATAGGAAATTATTAATAAGAGTAAGGATATATTTTAGTTGCTAAGTAGCACTTGTAGGTGAAACCCTGCTGGTTTGATGGGAATGATGATTAGCTCAGTATCTTAGTCATTAGAGCTAGCTTAGTGGCTTAGTAGATGTATTCTTACTTTAAGAACTGTTGTTGCCTTAATATTGAGTGTTGCATCATCATTGCATGCATGTAGAGAACGAGTTGGTGGAGTTCGTGACCGCGAGCGAGCAGGAGTACGAGGAGGTGATTGAAGAGTACGAGGAGGAGATCCTCATGTAGGAGGAGGTCCTAGAGGCACCATGGACTAACTGAGCTGACACCGCGCCTGGCCAAGGCAAGCCCTGGTGCATAACCCTTATTTGGATTAAGCACTGAATATATATATTTGTGATGTGCATTTATGTTACAAGCATTCTATGAAAACTACCTACATAAATATATCTATCCTAAGAAGTCCTACTAGCATAGATCGAGTAGCTGCTATGCTTAGGCTATCGGTAGCGTGAGTAACATGCCGTTACTCATAATAGGTGATTATTACTATCACTCATGATAAAATAGTGAAAGGAAATGGAGATCGAGCAGTGATATGGTATGGGTATTGGTGGGTGTAAGAGGTTGTGTCCTGCGGCCAACTGGGCATAGCTTGGTTACACTGTTTTTCCTGTCCGTGTCGGTTAAGGACCGGCCATTGCATTGGATTCTAGTCAGGTCACAGACTTATTATCCTGAGCACATACTTATTTATGAGAGCAGGAAAGGCTCGTTGCTCTCTTGTCGTGGGTTCTGGCTCTTTCTGAACTGACTGATTGGAGGTGGGGATGGTGGAGGTCTAAGCACTACACTGAGTCCGGGACTCAGGTGTGGGGGCTTGGAGTCCAAGTTTGGACGGGGACCTAGACCCCTTGACAGGAGAGTGATGGGTTGATCCTGCTTATGCCTGGGGTACAAGTGAGGCGTGTGTTTCGGGGTACCCAGCTGGGCTCATTAATTCACAAATCGTCGGGTAATCCAATACGGCTTGTCTATAGTCTAGCACTGTAGTAAGAATGGGAAGATGAAAGATGGTAAAATGGATCTATTTGTCCAACTCTTGCTTAAAGGTAGAACATGTGCTTACCTAGCATGGTTATATAATGAACTAATCATGACTGCTAATAAGAAACATACATAAGGATTCACTACTAGTAATGTTTTTTGCGAAAAGTAAACCCAGCAACTCATAAAGCTTATCATATCCTTTGGAGTCAAAAAATTATTCCCACTAGTCGGGTAAGTCTTGTGAGTACATCATGTACTCAGGGTTTATTTACCCCTATTGCAGGTGTAGTTTGAAGAGTAGCTATTGTGTGGAGGATTCTTCTGGTGGGCACAGACGGATCCTTGTATCTTATCGTTAGATATTTATTTCAATTCCGCTGTTTAAATTCCGCACTCTGAACTTGGTATTATAATAATGTATTTCTGAGAACTCTTGTTGTATGAAATAGACTAAGTATTGTAAACTCGTTCTCATTATTAGATCTTAGAGGAAAAACATGGATTATTCAAGTTCTCCCTTGGGGTGTGCTCGACGGAATCTGCCCGATGTAGCTTACTTTCGGGGTGCTTAGTGTCTGGTGGAAGACGAGCGCCTCCGAAGGTGTGTTATTTTGGGTGGTTCTGCCACATAAAGCAAGTGAAGGAGATGCCATACCTGGGAATCATCCAACCGAGCACAAGTTCCTTTTCATCCCCGGTGTTGCTGGTCAAGAAAAAAGATGGTTCGTACCATTTCTGTGTCAATTTTCGGCAGCTGAATGCTTTGACAACCAAGTCTAAGTTTCATGTGCTAGTATTTGACCAGCTTATGGACGAGCTTGCTCACGCTAGTTGGTTTTCA